TCTAATCTAGATATCAAGCTGCTGTGGCAACTCATGCCCATATCCATGTGAAACACAACCTGTAGGGAGCAAAATTAAAGAAAGACACAGTCATTCTTTGGCTGATGTCTTATTTATTGCATCACCACCAAATGTTAAATAAACACAGAAGCATATTTTTTTTCTTATTTGGAACCATGAGAGAAAAAGTCTTTATCCAGAGATTGTGATTTACGGTTTTTATTATCAAACTGGCAATAATAAATGGAGTCATATTTTTTAAGATAAGAATCAGGTTTAATACATTTACACAAATATAGCTTCCTCAAGAAAATAGATAATGAAGCTGAGGTTTCCAGAACACCATAAATCTCTGTAGAAGGGAAATTGCCTTCAGAATCATTTACATACATGTGAAATATTAGCTTAAAGACTAAAGCTTAAAGACTTATTTTAGTAATTGCACAAAAAAATACATAAAGTTTCAAATATTTACCATCTAAGCTACTGGTATTTTTGTGGAAATCATGAGTTGTCAAATATTTGAAAAATAATCCCACATTCTGAACAAGTTCAAAACTTATAATATAATTATTATAGAAAGGTAATAGTTAAATATGGGTGGTGATTTTTTCTTATTTACTGGATTAGTAAGAAAAAACACAAGTAGTTTCCATATTACAATAAACTTCTGTTCCATATCTGAAACACAAAATGCATTTATTTACAAACTCAATAAATGATAATTAGTAACCTTGAGTGTCTTTAATCTAGAAAGTGGATAACCTGTCCAAAATCAACATTAGTGATGGAAAGTTTAGTATCAACAGTTCAACAACACAATTTTACTGCCACAACAAAGAGTTCTATAAACCAGGAAGAATGTTCATAGAGACAAGTATTACTTACTTGTAGATCGATAGGTAGGTAGGAAGGTAGGTAGGTAGGTAGAAAGTTAGACTGATAGTTTGATAAATATTGAGTCTCAAAGTTCTATAATAAGTTTATTACTAAGCTGTATTCAATACATCCCATGCCAGGTATTTCACAGTTTTACATTTAAAAGTGCTTCTTGTAGTAATTTTAAAGAATACACTTATCAGTGATTTTTCCACACAACTAAAACTTACAACAGGAGACCTCAGAGCAACTTCATTTTCCATGTCTTAATAGCAACCTGACAGTATATACCTACTTTATTTTTGTCTTTTGAAGACATCACACTTCTTAGTCTATTGGGATATTGTCATTACCATTTGTTCCTACTCCTGGCTATTAACATTTTATATCAATATTGCCATATAGAATTTAAGCAACAGTCAGTAACGTGCACAGCACAAAGGCAAAGAGTTTTCATGATCTATATTGGCACAGATGAGATATACATCAAGTTGAGCAAAAGAACAGAAAGAAAACACAAAGCTGTGAAATCCATCTTAGAGCAGACTATCTGGTGTGGACAACCCAGATTCAATCCTTTCAATGCCACAATTTGAAATGACCTGCAGTTCACACTTACTCATTCAAAAATTGTTGCAATTTAATGAAATGTAACTATGATTGAATCCATATATTGTGTCTTTATTAAAGGAAATTTGCTGTGGAGAGGGATTACTACATTTTATGTTTAACATCACTTAAGCTTATAAAGTAGTCTGCTACCATGTAATGCACATTAAATATGTGTCAGGATCTATACTAGGTACTTCAAATAAATTATCACATATATGTGTGTCACAGTAACATTATACAATATTAAAGTTCACATATGTGGATAGAGAAATATCTCAGAAAGTTTAAGGAATTTTTTAAGAGCACATGATTAAAAAGCAGTATCACAAAATTAGAAATTGAATACTTCTATGCATGTACGACTTAGCCAGACAAGCTTTCTAGGCTCATACTGGCAGAAATTGTCACACATTACATTGAACTAGGTCATCTAGTTCATTTTTAATCTAAAACCCTCAGCAAATACTTTCTGAATTTTTGCTGTGTTCAAGCCACCTAAAATAGCAGTGCTTTGAAGGATGAAATTAGTGAATTAGAAATAAACCCTGCCATAAAAATGCTAATGCTGACAGGCAGGTAAGACCCATACTAACAATGATAAAGAAAGTGATGTGAGCCCAAAACAAACAAACAAATATAATCCTCTTGAGTCCAAAGAAGAATTTATTATATTTTGCTGATGCATCAGGGTTGACTCTGTGGAAGTAATAGTGTCAGAGAGAATTGAAACCCTCATGTATTGCTGATGGACATAATATTGTTAAAGTTCCTTTGGAAAATAGTCATCTAATTCCTTAATGGATTAAACAGTTACCAGAAATTCCACTGCTAGGGCACTGTTAGGTGCCCAAGAGAAATGAAAACATATCTACATACAAAAACTATACACAAGTATTTACAGCAGCATTATTCATAATAGCCAAAGATGGAATCAGTCCAAATGCCAATCAACACACAAATGGATAAACAAAATTTGGCATATTCATACAATGAAATATTATTTGGATGTAAAATATTATTTGGCTGTAAAATGAAATACTGATAGATGTAGCAACATAGATGAATCTTGAAAACATGCTATATGAAAGAAACCAATTACAAAAGTACACATATTGTATGATTATATTCATACATAATAGAAATGTATTGTGATGGGGGCATAGACGAGTGGATCGAGTATGATAGCTAAAGGGTGTGGAAATTATTTCTGGGGTAACAGACAGATGAAAATCTTTCCAGGTGTAAGAAATGGCTAAGTTCACAAAAAAGATTCAGCAATTTTATGTTTTCGCCTTGCTTTATTGCTACTATTTGTAGGATATTGTTTTAGTAACAAAGAATTCATAAACAGTATTACCTATCCATAAAATGTCTTCTTGTTTGTGTTATTAAGACACAAGTGAAATTAAAATCAACCTTAAATCCTCTCTTACATCTTTCCCTCCATGCTTGCCAACTATTTTAGAAATCCATCTTGATAGTTTATTTTGACATTTCATGGAGTGAGATAACTTTCAATGATTAGTTAGGATTACAGAACAGATCTGGAATTCATTCAGGTAAAGAATAATTTCTCACTTCCAAATTCAACTGTTCTCATGGAAGCCAGAGTAAAAATTATTAAATATGAACCTTCATATACTGAGCAGCATGTAGAAGTCATCAACTGGATTACATATCACAATATGGAAGAATCTTACAAAAATATTGTAAAGTTAAAAAGCAGAGATTGCAAAAAATCTAAAGCATTTAAGTAAAGATAAAGAGCATAAATATAGACTTGCAAAATTACCCTTTTCCCAAAGTAGGTGTTCACAATATAATGGTTGCACATAAGCTTCAATAATATTATTTAAAATAACGGCATCAGCAGCAGTGATTTTAAAATTGTATCATGAACACATGCCTCTTCCACAGAATGTTTTCAAATCCCTATCTATTATAGAAATTTCCTATCTACTGTCTTTTACTACCAGTGAACTCTGTCTGTATCAAGTACCCACCTTCTTTCCTTCGCCTGCATATCCACTGCCACTGATTATTTACTTCATTAATTAACTATAAAGTTAATAGTTGCATCACCCTATTTAGATGATGTGTGTTTGTCTTTAGAAGTCTTCCACATAAAGCAGAGATAAAAAAAAAATGTTTTAATCTACTACCTTAGGCATTAAGTCTTTATCCAAGGAATTAACTTGATATTTACATGGTTTACATAGGAACATCAATCTAAATTTCAGGTTTTGAAGTATCTTTTCATCAACATATATTCTCATAAATACAATACATATTCATTGGCTTTTGAGAGTAAAAAAAAGCAAGTTTAAATATTTTCTAATCTTTTCTTGCTCATTTTATTAGGATGAAAACTAAGGTTACTCATGATGATTTTCACTGAATGTTTATATTTTTCCAAAGCATTTTTCCTGAATAATGACTTAATTTGCTGAATATATTTCTAGAAATCACTTGTGTAAACCATTTTATATGAATAGTTTAGCTGAAAAAATCCAATTAAAAGAAAATTTCCCAATATCAAAAGAAATAGCTGTCATGACAACATCTATTATTTCTGTCATTCATTTACAATAATAATAAAAAGTAACACTTCAAATTCTTGCTACACAGATTTGACACTTGAAATATTGTTCATAAGACTTCGACATTTTTTGACATGTCATATGAAAGAATATTATTGAACTTATAGCAAAGAGAAACTCCAAAAAAGCTGAGTATGTTCAGCCATCGGGTGAAAATACTCACTGAAATTGCCTGAATTTAGCCATGAATCTTCACTTTGCGTACAGAGTATTACTCACTGCATTGGAAACAGTGTAATACTTCCTCAGCTTCCAGCTTAGGTTATAAATATATGTAAGTTTCTTTCTGACATTTTTAACATTAAGAAATATCTTCCAAAAAAAAGAAATATCTTCCAGATGTTAACTTAAAATATTCCCTAAAAATAATCATCACTTAATGGGCCCTAAAAAATAAAATCTTAAGTGATAAATATTTGCTTACACTTTTGTTGATGAATTACTGGAAAATGAAATCTTCGAATAGTTAAAATCTAAGAGGATTCTCTTCTCAATGCAAGCAGATGCATAATAAATTATCTTACAGAAGTTGAGTTACCTACTGGTGGCCTCAGCCTCTATTATAATGAAATAGCTCGTTACATTACTATATACTTGCCTACATATGAGCATATCTGCGCTAACAAAAAAATGTATGGGTAATACATAAAGACAGCTGCATTGATTGAGTGGAATTCTTTTACAATGTATACATAATTCAAATCGCAAGATATACATTTTAAATATTTTACAATTTTGCATGACAATTATATCTCAATAAAGTTGAAATATTTTCTAAGACAGTTGTATTGTTTTAAATAAAGTTGTAGGAACAATTCTTTCGAAAGCAAATATGATTTGGTATACCAAGAAACAGTTGTGTCAGTCTGCTGTCATGTAAGACCTTGGATTAATATTCATTTTCTTTGATAAGCTTCAGAAACAAATGACATTTCATCAATAATTTCTTTAATTAACTCTCAGACATTTTGTCTAGCTATTCAGATGGATTCTGCAGTGCTATCCTGTAAACCAACTGAAAAGAAGAACAATTGATTAAAACTCAGGGAAACAGGAATCTTTAAGACAAAAGAACTCACAGACCAAGAAGTCAAAAAGTCCTAAAATATTCCAGATTATTTTAGTACAAGTTCAAATGGAGTGTCAATTAAGCAAAATGAAGACATTCTGGAGATGTGCTTTAACAACATTGTGCCCATAGTCAATGATATGATATTGTACACTTGAAAATTTATTAAAAGGATCAACCTTATACCACAATAAAATGAAATTTAAAAAAAAAAATTACTGGGGTTTAGGAATGAGTGCTTTTTGTGCTTATCTCCAGCATTGCTTACAGTCAAACAGCTTCAAAAACAGTCACTTCACCTCTTTTATTTTTCACTTTCTTGCTTTTTTGCTTATTCCTTGTAACTCTTACCACACAGTTTAAACTCTTCTCCTGAAATTTAACAAAAACTTGGCCTGTGTGTGTGTGTGTGTGTGTTTCTCATCCTTTTCCATGGCCTTTTTTGAGCTTCCTCTGTACAGTCCAACTGTGGTTCCTGACTGTCCATTTAAGCTTTCCTCTGACCATCTACTACTGTTTCTTCTCCTGTCTTCTTTATTGGGCCCTTTTTCTTTTCTTTGTTTGTTTTTAATTTTTTATTATTATTTTTAAATTTTATATATTTTTACATCATTTTTCATTTTTGCACAATGTATGCATTTTCATCTTGGTTATACTCCCCATACAATTCCCACTTCCCCCTTTGTTTTGATCCTACTCCCTCTTCCCCCTCCCTATAGTGTGTCTCTGGTTTATAGTTGCTTGTTGATTTTGATTTTTACTTTATTATAATTAGTATTTTTCCTGGATCAAGAAGTATATATGTGGTACATATACACAATGGATTATTACTTAGCAATCAAAACAGATAAACTCATGCAATTTGCAGCAACATGGATGAAGCTGGAAGGGATCATGCTCAGCGAAATAAGCCAGAAAGAAAAAGAAAAATACCAGATGGTCTCACTCATAGCAGGAATTTAGAAAACCTAAATAAGGGACCTGGGTCCTTTTGCTTAATCCACATTCTTCAATAAAGTATTTTCATCTCTATTCCCATATTTTCACTTGTATTATTTTTTCTTCTCTCTCATCTGTATCTCATTAAACTTTAAGTCTTTCAAAATTATTTCTCTGTGGCCCATTGCAGTACTTCTCCATCCTCATTTCTAGTTAGGTATTTGCCCAGTGTACTTTGAGAACATAAGAAAATCTCAAAGGCCATATTCACAAAGTCAAATTCAGATTAACAGTTAAAATGACTTCTATTATATATAGTCTCTATTTCAGCTAATGAAATAGCTCACAATTTTTCCCAATAGGCCACATGTTAAACATAATGCTATTTATCATCTTCTAATAAAACAGTTAATTTACTTACAAGATCTAGACTAGAAGGTATTTTAATTTTTCTTTGATCACAAATGTATCTCAAGTGCCTAGATCAGTGCTGAATGAATGTATCTTCCACCTTTTTAAGTAGTTTCATATACTAAACACTATATCCATATGTGTATATCTAATTTCCCTTCTCATTTTTTTTATCTCTATTAGGAAAATATCACTGTCTAATTCATCTTTGTTGATCATATCTCTGTCCATAATGCTCAGCCTCTTGCATTGCACATAAGAGGTAAGTGTTAAAACCATTTTTTTTCAAAGAATACCAATTTAAAAAGTTTAAATGGTGCAAATTAATTTTAGTCTATAAGTGTTTCACTGATAACATGACTTTCCAGAGTTTAAAAATACTGGTTTCCCCCACTATACAAAAGTAGAATGGACCTATTTCGTATGATTTGTTAGATTACTTGTTGAGTCTGGAAGTGCTATTACCATTAATTTACATGGGAAAATTTTTGAGCATTCTAAAATCCAAAAATTAACCTTGAAAATCATATCAAATAAGAACATTCTACTTTTGGATAATTGAGGAAATCCATAACTAAAACCAGGGTCCCAAAAATCACTAGGAGGCAAGCAGAACCTCTTATCTACCTCTCAGTAGAGCCAGGTAGTTGTTCATCTCTGATTCCCTGCACATTTGCTTCCCATTCCCCACTTCTCAAACTCAAATCCCATCTTTTCTCACTGCTTCTTTATATTTAATAGCAAGAGATGGCTACCCACACTCTGTAGATTAACTCCCCCTCAAAGAACACGGTCCATTTCCACTTCAGGGGCTTTGGTCTAGCTAACATGAGCCATAAAAGGTCTTAACCTGTAAAATTTATTCAAGACTTTTTATGACCATATAAACGGTTATGTTATAGTCCAAATCTCCTACTTCAGGAAACCTGCCTAGTTCAGCAGATACTACCAGTGGAGCAAACCAACTCACTAAAGCAAGTAATAACAGGAATTCTGACTAGGTTGAAGAATTCATTCTGACTAATTAAATTATTCCTTTATCCCATTTATCATTCATATGCCTTAAATAGCTATGTCAATTTACTTTGTCATCCAATAAGATTTATAGCCTTATGTGTTTATAGCAGAAGTGAAAAGTCAAGGCTAAAAGAAAGATTAAGACCAACAGGTAACAAGCACATTTGCCTAATTTTCAACTACAGCAGTGCAAAATATTTAGGCAAGATATATCGAATTATCATTTTTAAAAAATAAATATTCTGTGGACTAAATATTCACTCTTCCTCCCTGTTAGATGTTTATTTTCTTCCATTACCTCTGGCTGTCAAAAAGATACCAAATCCCAACCTTCTATGTAAGCCCTGGGAGAAAATATTATTTAACAAAAATTGCAATAAAATTCAAAGACAGAGATTTCATGTCTTATATATTTATTTTACTTTTCTTATAAATGGAAAATGATGTTTAAGACCTAGAGATAACAATAGAGAAAGCTTAAGATTAATGTCACTGCTCATGTAGAGTCTGAACTACCTCATAGCCTTCTTTCTCCACTTCAATTCACTCTGAGGCAGTTTTAAAACAGAATTGTAAATTCTTTGACACTCCATTGATAAGTGGAATCCCTGTTTCCTCTGCTTCAATCTGGACAAGGTTGCGTCTGCTTTGACCAATATATTATGCTATGTGACTACCAAAGCTAGGTCATAAAAAAAAAAAAATCTATGTAATTTCCACCTTCTTTCTGAAACACTTGCTCTTGGTGCCCTGAGCAACTGTGTAACAAGTTGAAACTATTGTAAGACTTCTGTGATGGAGTGGAGTCATGTAGATTACCTAATCAACATTCCTGGCTAAACCCATTCTTCTGTCATCCCAACATAGTAAGTGTCAGATATGTGAGTGAAAAATCTGAAAGGGAATCCTCAAGCCTTTAGCCCTTTGACTCACTCCCTGTCACTGAATCAATCTAAGAGGATAGCAAAAATGGTTGTAGCTTTATACTCCTAAGTTTTGTGATAGTAGTTTGTTATGCAGGAATAGATAACTGGAACACATCCCAAGACAGTATCTGTTTCTTTTGACTTCTGAAAAACCTCTCCACTAACAAAAAGCATGTATAGCAAGTTATTTTTAAAGGATCTGATAAATGTCACAGCAAGGTATAATAGGTAATAACTTAGTAGCAGACTGTGTGCTTCCAAGTTCCTCATTATAAAATCAGGATTATGTGCTTTGTAATCTCCCGAGTCCCTTTCACTTTTGGCCTTTATAGCACTCACAAGCAATACCTTAGCTTAAAACAATGAAGTACCAATGATGGTACTTGTGGGGATATAATTTAATTTTCAAATATTTAGCTTAGAGTCTCTCAAATATGTCAACAGATTGTCATATTCATTAGTTTTCTCCAAGATTAATGCTAGTCTAGAAATTATGTCAATTCAATGTTTCTTAAGGAGGCGCTAGACATTTACATCTCTTATTTAATTATTCTTAAATAAGGTGTGTGATTTCTATGGATGGAAGATCTAGATATTTTCCATTTTCATAATAATGCAGAAAAAGGGTATCTAAGGATGAAACAAACATCAATCACTAGGCAGAATATGAGAGAAATATTACCTGCTCTGTAAGCAAATAAACATGTGGGAAATTTCCTATGGAACAGATTTGCCCAAGAAGTATCTTGCCCCAATGCATTACTTTTTGTTCATCACTAGCAATTGCAGTATATCACTGATTTTTTTTCTTTCTTGATCAAGTTATTCTTATCCCTATTCATTTTTCATTTAGTGAAGTATTAGTTAGATAGTTGAAAATTTTCTTTCTAGATAATTAATCTCACAGTCCTAGTGGTAGACCAGTAGCCTTTCATACATTTAGGTCATTAGATTCTAAATGGAAAGACTGTGGAGGTTAACCAAGTTATATTAGCTACAAAAGCTTAAATCTGTGCTTTTCTGAAAATCCTAAGGTAACCCTCACATCATGGATCGGATGTGTTATTCCTCTGGAAGTGGAGAATGACTTTAAAATAACTATGAAATTATTTTTAACTGAGAACATATTGAAACTTATCATTATCCAACTCTGGTGTTTTGACTAAAATGTAAAACACTTTTACTGAAGCACTGAAGCTCTCATTAAGTAGCCCTAGCTTAGTCAAAGCGCAATTGTTGACCTTCTGTGCTTAAGGCATGTGCTGTTCCACACAGATAGAGGCTTTGCTAACACACTCCCCTTGATGATGCATAATGGGACTTACATGTGCATATCAGGAGGAGAATAGACCTTAATTTGGAATATTAAGTAGCACAGGCACATGAAAAGCCTTCATTAAAATATTAAAAGTGTACTAAACCCATAAGAGCTAAGAGATGTGTTCCTATGGGAGGAAAATTCCAACCGCAACCTCTCTCCTTATCTCAATTTCTGACATTTGTTAATAAGAAAGAACATTAACTTAGAAACTCACTTTTATCCAGTGGCTGCTAAAGTACTACTACACTACCAAAGGATTAGTTCATACTTTGCCTGTTCCAGAACACAACGGAAGGGTACAAGCAGCAGTTGTATCCCTGAAACTACCAAGCTAAACAAATTTAAGGCTGATTTTACCATCTTGAGTTAAATGGGGGGGGGGATCTTCTTGCAATAACCCCTTTCACCAAGACCTTGATAGCTCCCTCAGAGTTTTGTATTATAAGTATGCCAATGGATAGTTTAAAATTCATGTATTCAAGCAACATTTAGAAAGCACCTCCCATGTGAAAATACTTGGGGGTTTGAGCCTCCAACTTTGACTTTTCAAAATTTGACACAACTATCTAGAAATTAATTCCTATATATGAGTCAATAAATAAATTTAGTAATTTCTATATATAAGGAAATGTACTTGAGATGACTTCTTAAAACCTAACATTAAAACATATGCTGCCTGCACTGTTTACAATAGCTAAGCTTTGGAAACAGCCCAAATGCCCAAAAATAGATGACTGGATCAAGAAGATGTGGTACATATACACCATGGAATATTACTCAGCATTCAAAAAAGATAAACACATGCAATTTGCAGCAACATGGATGGCGCTGGAAGGGGTCATGCTCAGCGAAATAAGCCAAAAAGAAAAAGAAAAATACCGGATGGTCTCACTCATAGCAGGAATCTAGAAAACTTAAATAAGGGACCAGGAAAATGAATAACTATAAGAAAGTGAAAATCAAAATCAACAAAAAACTATGAACCAGAGACACTTTTTGGGGGCGGGGGTGGGAGGGGAGGGATTGGGGTCAGAATGGGGGGGATGCAATTGTATGGGGAATATAAAAATAAATTTATTATTTAAAAAAAAAATAAAAAAAATAAATTAATTGGGCCTCCCCGGTGGCGCAGCGGTTGAGCGCTGGGTTGCGAAGCTGCGCGCGGCCTCTGCGACGCCGGTTCGATCCCCGGCTGCTCCCCGGCCACCTGAGGAGGGTCCCACATGGCGCGCAGACCTCTCCTGCCGCCCGCTGCTCCCCTCAGCAGTGTACTTCGGTCCTTCTGCCTGCTCTGCTCCCCGCTCTGGCTCTGGTGAATTCTCTCGCCCTCCCGCGCTTCTGACTGTACCCAGTGCATGTATAAACAAAACAAACAAACAAACCAGCAAACAAATAAAATAAAGCATGCCTCTATAAAAAATAAAAAATAAAAAAAAAAAATAATAAATAAATTAATTAATTTAAAAACTGTGAAAAAAAAATAAAAAAAAATAAAGCATATGCTGCCTAAGAAGGTAGATTTTTTTTTCACTCTTACAATTTCGTGACTTGAAGAAATTATGATTTTCTAACTAATGGGTATGGGGGGGGAACCAGTCATATATTAATACATACCTAATCTTTATATATTATTATTATTTTTAATATTTAAAAGTCATATTACAACTTGAGATCTGCTATAGTACTTTTTATGTGCTTATTCCTTAATAAGCTATCAAAGGTTGTTAAATATATAAATATATATAATTACTGAATGCTTTACTCTTCCTGGGAATAACGCAAGGATAAAATGGTGTGGAACAGTAAGAATTATTCCAACGACAGCTAGACTAGGAAGAAATTTGAGGATCTACAGAAATAAAAAGAAAGGGCATAGCATTTGGTAACAAAGTAATGTATGATGATCACAGTAGTAGCATGCTAAGATTACTGTAACAAAATACCACTGAGCGAATGAGTTAAATAATAGGATTTTCTCACAGTCGCAAAGGCTAGAATTCCAACATCAAGGTATCCAGGGTTGGTTTCATTCTGAAGTTTCTCCCCTGGGCTCACAGATGACTGTCTTCTCATTGTGTCATCAAATCACATTTCCTCTGTGCACACACATGTTTCTGGCATCTTGCCATGTCTTCAAATTTCTTCTACCTATAAGGATGCTAGTTAGATTGGATTAGGCCTAACCAAAAAGTCCTCATTTTAACTTAACCATTCCTTAAAAGACCTCATATGTAAATACAATAATATTCTGAGATATTGAATGCTAGTACTTTAACATCTGAATTTGAAGGGAGCCACAATTCAGTCTATAAAAATTAATTTCTCATCTTCAAGAACTCAGGGACCTACAAAGGTAAAATAAGGATTTTGAAAAAACTGAGATTCATTTTTTTGGGGGGAATAGATTACAGGAAGTCTTTGAGGTCCTTGGTTATCCAGAAAATGAGCTAAATTCGCAAAAGTACAATTGTATGAATAAAAGTAAAACTTAAATTAAATGCATAATGATCAAATTAAAAGTAGATTATACAGTGTTATAGTATTATACCATACCATATATAGTATTATACTATACAGTATAGTATTATACTATACTGCTGAAAACACCTTCTTTCAAACCCTACTTGAAAGAAAAGAAAGGGCAAGGTATGAACTTCAGCAATAACCAATTGCTATCTATGGAATCTTTCTCTCAGAATAGAGAAATGGGAAGCTTCAGAGGAAAAACAATGCTCAATGCTAATTACTAGCATAAGGCCTACCAACTCCTCAAATCATTACTGTTTTCCTGATGAACCCTAATTCCCAATGCCTAGAATGATCATACATTTCAGTCTACCTAGTACTATCACAATTTATGTCTGTTATTCCTCAGTGTCAAGCCTAGTTAGCATCCTTCCAACTCTCAAAATTCTCCCTGTTTGGTAGATAAGATCAACCATACGTTGCCACAGTCCTTTCTCCCCTAACATGTTTATACACCCACACCAATTGCTAGTGTTTGAGATTCAAAATACCTAGCCTTCCATCTTTAGTAGACACTACTTCCTACATAAACTTGCACTCGTAACCTATTTTCCTCTTGGCCATAGTCAAGTTCATCCATCATTGATAATATAACATAGGTTCTGAAGAGAAAGGAGAAAAGCATATATCATATTTTTCTAATTTTCATTATTAATTTCAGCATCAGGGTATTACAGAAAAGGGTCTGGGGCCTCCCCAGTGGCACAGTGGTTGAGCGCTGGGTTGTGAAGCTGCCCGCAGCCTCTGCAGCGCTGGTTCTATCCCCGGCTGCTGGCAAGGGTCCCACAAGGCGCACAGACCTCCCCTGCCGCCCGCTGGTCCCCTCAGCAGTGTAATTCAGTTCTTCTGCCTGTTCTGCTCCCCACTCTGGCTCTCGTGAATTCTCTCACCCTCCCATGCTTCTGACTGTACCCAGTGCTTATATAAATAAATAAATCTTGGGCCTCCCCAGTGGCACAGCGGTTGAGCGCTGGGCTGTGAAACTGCCCTCAGCCTCTGCAGTGCTGGTTCGATCCCTGGCCACCGCGCGAGGGTCCCACATGGCACGCAGACCTCTCCTGCTACACCCACTGCTCCCCTCAGCAGTGTATTCGGTCCTTCTGCCTGTTCTGCTTTCGTGCTCTGGCTCTGGTGAATTCTCTCACCCTTCCACGCTTCTGACTGTACCCAGTGCTTGTATGAATAAATAAATCTTTAAAAAAATAAAATACAATAAATCTTTTTAAAAAAGAAAAAGAAAAGAAAAGGGTCTGGGGCACAGATATCACAATTCTAGCTTCCACTTTGTCAACTATTAATTCTGAGACTTTGTAGCCATCATTAAAAGTATTTCAGTCTCACGTTACTCATTTATATCAAGGAAATAAAGTGAACAGGAGAGCCTATTTCAATGTGCAAAGGAATCAAAGAAAATACTGGCTAAGAATGACAATTATTCTCTTCAGAGAGAAAAAGCATAATAATTAAATTTAGAAGTTTACTAAAACAAAGTTTTCCTCATGACATTAATGATACTCTCTAAGAGTCACTTCACCTTACTTCTAGAACATCATCCTTTCACAATATTGCACCTGACCATTAAGATTCATATTAGGAACCTAGGGAAAAAATCAAAGGAGAAGAGCTGCATTAGGGATTTTGTTTGGCTGAATAGACTGCAGAGTGAAGAAAGCATGATTTGAGGAACCAAGACTATCAGAGCAGAGGAAAAGGTAAAATGAGCTAAAGACATAATACTGCATAAGCTTCCAAGTTATATTTGCAGTAGTATTTGAACATTTGAATTGTGTTCTTTTGGGTACTCTATGCATTTTATAGACTAGAAGGGAGGACAGGAAGTTAAGAAAAGAACAAAGGGACAGAAGATAAAAAAGAAGGGAAATTGGTGGGTGCAGTGTAGTAACACCTGAAGGGGCAGAACCTATACCTCTATAATGTAAACATTAAAAACCTATGTTACCGGGGCCTCCCCTGGTGGCGCAGCGGTTGAGTGCTGGGCTGCGAAGCTGCGCGCAGCCTCAGCAGCACCGGTTCGATCCCCGGCCGCCGGGCAAGGGTCCCACATGGTGTGCAGACCTCTCCTGCCGCCCGCTGCCCCCTTCAGCAGTGTACTTCGTCACTCTGCCTGTTCTGCTCTCCGCTCTGGCTCTGGTGAATTCTCTCACCCTCCTGCGCTTCTGACTGTACCCAGTGCTTGTATGAATAAATAAATAAATCTTTAAAAAAAAAAAAAAAAAGATATAATCATTCTTAAAAAAAAAAAAAAAAAAACCTATGTTACCTCACTAAAAATATAAATAAAAAGAAGAAAAATATTCTAACTCTAAAAATAATGAACATCAATGACTAGATATTTAGTTTTTGTTGTGCCCTATTTCTGACTTTTTGTTAAAAGAGGATAGAAAAGAGAATATAGGAAACATAAGAATTAGGATTAGAGACTATAATCTATCAAGATAGACCTGGGATTATGAGATGTTAACTTGATTTATAATTTTCATAGTTTTTTAACATGTGACTGTATATATTATATATTTGTGGGTTTTTGCCAAGACATACTGTTGCAAGAATATAATCCTCAGTCACTGAAAGAAAGTGCTTACCAACCTACATCTCAGCAAAATACTCCCACTTCATAGGACCCACGATTTGGTCACCTTTTTCCCTCTCCTAAAATCCCCAACATTTCTATATCCATAATGTAGTCCATAAATTTCATGTTAACTTGGGGATATATTTAGCTATAGTAAAATGTATGTACTTTGTTTTCCAAAAAGTAATGTCTATGCCTAGAAAGAATAAGATCAACATAGACTCATAGACGCCTGACATGAATCTCTGCAATCATTGCAAATCATTTGCAAGTGTTTCTTCAAGATTCACCAAATGATAATCACCCTGGAGTTTAAATGTGATATCTTGACTCTGTATGATCTTTAGACAAAAATTTACTTAAAAAACATTAAAACTCTCTTGTAGAGATTGAATTGTTTGCAATTTAATCTATCTAAAAAGAGCATTAAACAATGGTGATAGTTTTCTCTCAATCACAACTTTTAACTATGTCTAGTTGAGGAAATTATAAAATTTAATAATGTCAGGACACACACACACAAAAAAAGGTTGTGAAACAAATGAAAGAAAGCTTCAGTAGCCTAGAGCAGTAAACATCTATTTAGCTCACAAGTCCACAAATTGATGGGCTATACTGGGCTTGACCAGATAATTCTTCTAGTCTCAGATGAACTCACCTGAACATCTGAGGCTCTTCTGCATGCCTGCTTATGACTTATACCTCTGGATTAGTTCTGTGTTGGCTGGAGCAATTCAGCTCTGCTTCACACATCTCTCATCTCCCTCCAGCAGGCTAAACTCATGGCATAGGCAGAGGAGTGAAAGCAGAAATGTCACTGGACACATTTTCAAGCATTCTCATCCATTCCAACTGCTAACTTTCATTGACGAAATCAAATTACAAGGCTGAACTTATAATCAGTGGCAGAGAAATAAACTCCACTTTTTAATTAGAGTAACATTAAAATCACATGGCAAAAGAATTTGTATGTAGGGAGGGATGAAGAATTGAATCTATTCATATAATCGAATGTTTCCCTAGCACAGAGGGAGGCGCGACCTCTTTATTTCTAAGTAGTTGGACACCCCATGAAAGTAGTTAACTTCTGTATACACAAACTAATTTCTAACACAGCCCCTTAAGTGGATATATCATAAGTTAGATAACATCATGGGTTTTGGGAGGTGTCAATAGTCTCCCTAGAATGTATATACATTAATAGGTTCCAGTCATCTTCCTTCAGCTCACCTACCTATCCAACTTGAACTCTACTGTAACTGCTCAGATGTTTCTCAGGTTTCTCAAACTCAACTAAAAAGGAACTTTCCATTATTCTTCTTTACTACACCATTACTAATATATTTCTTTTCCTGTATTCCTTAGCGCTATTCTCTATGATAGATCCCACCAGGCAACAAGCCAGCTAAGCCAGAAAAGTAGTCAGCTCTTATTCCTACCTATCCTATCCCTACATTTTCAGATTTTTATCAAGTCCTATAACTTCTATCCACTTCTTTAGTATTTCTCTTCTCTGTCTTCTTTATTTCCATTGCCTCAGTCATGCTGTACCTACTAAGACTTGAGCTGCTGAAATTGCTTACTTTCCTTTCTCTTCTGTTCTGCCCCAGAATAATTTTTCTAAAAGAGAGATTATCATATCATAAGGATGCGCTATATTAATATCTACAGTGGTACCCCTCTACCAATAGCATACAAAATGTGAGTGCCTTCTGTCCACCACTCTGTTATCCTTAATTTATAATACTAATCTGGAATAATTTAGTCTTGCTTTAACAAGCCTGACGAATTCTACTCATACACCTCATTTGACTTAAATATGACATATATGTATACACACACACACACACACACACACTATCCTATGCTACATCACATCACATAAGACTAGCTAGTACAGTGTAATCACTAAAAGCAAAGACTTTGAAATGAGACTGAGTCAAGTTTGACTCCTGGATACATCTCTTACTAGGTATGTAAATTTGGAAACAGGAGTTAAACTCTTTAGCATAGTTCCTATTCTGAATAAAAATCTATTTATTTACGTAAAAATATAATTCCACTTCCTGGAATTTTTTGATGCAACATGGTGGGAGCAGTAATATGGACACTTAGTTTGGTATATAGGATTTAATAAATTCAGAATCCCTGAAGGCAATATTGTCAAGTTTTAGTTCAAAACATAGCTCCTGTCTGAAATCTCTCCTAAATGACATTGAGTTGCTCTCTCACTGCATCTGATATACCTCCACTATATTCGGTATATATCATTATCAATTGGGTATAGCTCATTGATGCACTCATTGGCTTACATCTCCTGTATCTACATTTTTTAGATGATTCTCACCTTAGATTCTTATTTTTAACACCATATTCTAACATGTAATAGATCTGATGTCTGAATGAGCTCAGAAACAGGTGGTAGGCAAAGTTTCTAGGTGAAAAGGAAACATTATTACATGTTTACCAGGATGTGTATCATATAGTGTCCTGATCCTAAAGAAAACAGATTGAAGAAAATAGACTAAGCTTGATTTTTTTTCAATTCTATTTTAAAAATTCCAGTAAGTATGTGACTCAATCCTTTTCAATCAGTAATTTTTTCTTAGAGCTCTCTCAAAACATATTAAAGAACTGGTTAGCCAGTCTAGCAGATCAACTGTCAGAGCCAGCTCTCTAGATGGTATTGAATTCGTCAATAATGACAGCATGGGAAGTGTTGTTGCTGTCCTTCATTTCTTACACCTGATGAACAAAAAAAAAAAATGAAAGAATGTCAACTCTACCCTGCTGTGGCCTGATTCTTTCAAATGCACAATTTACAATAGTGAGCCAAGTGCTAAAATAAGAATATTCTTGCCTTTAGGAGTCCTGACCAATCATTAAAATTTTTATTCTACCTTTAGAGATAACCCCTTTTGATCTCTCAATGACATTGTTAACAATGAGGAAACACACACAAAAGAAAATAAGATATTTAAAATAAATTTTAATGGACAGAGTACAGCATATTAAATATTTATTGACTTCTGTACACATTCATTTAAATGGTATACATTCAGATACCATTCAGTGCCTCTATGCAGGAGTGGTCAGATGCTGAGCAAAGCAGAAAGGTGATATTGTGACTTCAGAATTTCACCTTTTTGAAGGGTCTTTTTCTCTTGACCTTTGCTGTCAAATATTATTCAGTTATCATCTGAGAAAAATTAACAATGAACTACACAGTGAAATTCTGGAAAGCTGACCATCACCCTGAGTTTTGTCCATAACCACTGCCTTTTCCTGAATGAAGTTATCAGAAGCTGGCCAGTGGAGTGGAGGCTATCTTAAGTATTATGAACATTTAAGGTGATGTCAACATTCGTTGTGACAATCCAACCCAGTTAGAGAGTAAATTAAGAGATTCATAGAAATAAATAAGCAAGAAAAATAAGAGTGTATATTATAGGCAAGCAAAAACCATAACGTAAAACAATAAAGCAAGAAGTGGATGCAAATACAAGCAGTTAAAAAAAGAAAAAAACAGCATAATAACTGGAAAAATAGGCAATGGACCCTAGCCTCTGATGAGACAACTAAGTTTCTGAAGACACACAAAGAACTCATTCAAGCCTGGATATTTGGTTGCTGAAGCAACTTCCTACACTTTCATTCTGTAAACCTACGTTGAAGATCCAAACATGTTTGTTTCTTGCCACTTGGATGTACCTTAATGAAGTAGTGAGAAAGCACAAAGAAGATGTGTGTGTTTGAGGTAGGAAGAATTTACAAGTCTGTTTTTCCCTGGAACATAACCAGGACCAAAGCTCTGAGCTCTTCATTTTCAGGATCACATTCACCTTTTCCACTTCTTTTATTTTATTGCCAATACACTGTTAACTCTGATTTTTCTCCACCATGGAGTCAATATCCCGAACTAGTAATTAACCTACACCCCAAAATTGAGTTATTAAAACAATACCATTCTCTCTTGGGTATGCCAAAGAGTGTCCTCTTAGTTCATCAGTGTGAATCAAAATAGGTATTTTCAACCACTAGTCATAAACAAGAAATGTTCAAATTGAAACACAAATGAAATAAGGTGTTCTCTAACATTTTTTACCAGTCAGTGGGTTCTCTTCTGTAACTCTCAGATTCCAACCAGTTAAAATTTCCTGCCTTGAAATCCTTCCATTACAGTATTTATGTCTAATTTTTGCTGACTTCCTATTATATTTTAAGTTGCATTTCCATTATCTTATGTGCTACTTCTATTATTTTTTGTTTGAGGGTTCTACTGAAATTAGTATATGGTGGGCTAGTTGTGTAAACAGTTGGACTGGCCAATATCTGGCTGATTCTGATGGGCCACATTTTACTCTCTCCTTATGTTGAGTGATTTAAGTGTCTGTTATCTCCATATTCATTGTTCTGTTTCTTTAAAAATAACCCCTGCAGGGGCCTCCGTGGTGGTGCAAGGGGTTAAACACACACTAAGAAGTATTCCCCAGCCTCTGCAGCAGGAGTTCGATCTCCGGCCAGGGAGTGGCACACATGGAGCAGCAGACCTCTCCTGTCTCACCTGCTGCTCCCCTCAGCAGTGTACTTCAGTCAATCTGCCTGTTCTGTTCCCTACTCTGTCTCTGGTGAATCCTCTCACCCCCGGCATCTCTGGCCTATACCCCAGCTCTTGTATGCATAAATAAATCTTTAAAATTAAAAAAAATAATAACACCTGCAGGATTTCTTTCACATGTGGCTTGGTGTCGATAGATTCTTTTAGCTTTTGTTTTCAATGAAACTTCTTACTCTTTCTTATATGTGATTGTTAATTCTGCCAGGTGCAGGATTCCAGGCTGGAAGCTTTTTTTTTCTAGTATTTTAGACAGCTCTTTCCAGTCCCTTAGCGCTTATGATATTTGTGCTAAAAAATTACTGACATTCTGTTTGGTGCGCTTATAGGTTACACCTTTTTTTTTTTAAAGATTTATTTAGTTATGCATACAAGAGCTGGGGTACAGGTCAGAGGTATGGGGGGGTGAGAGGATTCACCAGAGACAGAGTGGGAAACAGAACAGGCAGACTGACTGAAACACACTGCTGAGGGGAGCAGTGGGCAAGTCAGGAGAGATCTGCTGTGCCATGTGGGTTGCTCCCTGGCCAGCCTGGGATTGAACTCGTGCTGCAGAGGCTGCGGATTGCTTCATGGTGCTGTGCTTAATCCCTTGCACCCCCAGGGAGGCTCGGTTATACCTTTTTCTCTTGATACTTTTTAATATTCTATCCTTGCCACTGGTTCTCCATAGCATTAATATCATATGTTTCGTGTCTGTTTGTCTGGCATTCTTTTGTTTGGAACTCTCTGGGCCTAGATCACAACTTATAGCTCATTTCCCAGATTGAGATATTTTTCAGTGGTCATTTCTTTAAATAAGTTTTCTATGTTTTTCTCTTTCTTTTCTCCTCTGGAGCCCACATGACATGGGTATTATTTCTCTTTAAGTTGTCCCAGAGGGCTCTCACACTGCTTTAATTTTTAATTCTTTTTTTCTCTACATTATTCTATTATTTTGTTCTGCAACATTGTTTCCAAGCTCATTAATTCTCACCATTGCTTCTCTCTGTCTGCTACTGAGGCCCTTGGCTATATTTTTTAAACCAGTTATGGTGTTTCTTAGCACCATTATATGTAACTGCAGCTGTCTCACGTCTTCCTTATCTTTGTTCTGTTGTTTCATATCTTGCATTTTTTTTTTTTTGAGTTCCATCAGCAGAGCCAAACCTGTTGCCCTAAATTCTCCTTCGGCCATGTTCTGCAATGCTGCTACACCAAGGGTCATTTCATGGTTTTCTTGCTCTGGCAATTGTAATGTATTTTCCTTCTTATTTTCAATTTTCTATAGATTTTAATAGGAACAGATTTTCAAGAGGGTCTGCACGTATTAAATGGAGTAATCCAGGGTCTGGTATCAGCAAGGGGTATCAGGTATAAAAGAGCACCAGGGCATTGGGCACGAAAGGATCAACTCCAGTGTACTCAGGAATATTAATTCCCATTATGCCATAGGTGCCCGAGTTGTGTGGTGAAGATCCACAATGATCTCCTCCTTCAGGCCAGCTCCTTGATCTTAGTGGCTCTTGTGGCCAGGTGTCCACTTTTACTTCAGGATATTTTTAAGCACCAGATGCCATGCTGGGAGCTACTGCTGTTGATATAGGATCCCAAACCAACACTGTTCTCATTTCCTCCCCAGCACAAAGTCTTATCCTGGGGTGTCCACTCGTTGGTAAGTACTCAAGTTTCAGTTTGTTCAAGCATTACTTTGTGGGAAATGACAGGTGTTTTGGATATCTCATCTTGTGCTTCAAATTGTACCTTCTTCTAATGGGCAGCCCAGGTCCTCTGACCCAAGTCAAACTAGAGCTATTCTGTGTTATGAGCATCAGACTCAAGCTAGTAGACCTCACTCTGTGCCCACACCTCAACAGCTCTCCAGCAATGCACCCTCTCTCCTGGGTTCCTTTATCTGGTACAGTGCCTTTATCTGGTATGGTGCTAAGACTCAGGAGCCCCAACGTTAGTGTATGCCCAAGTCAACTGCAAAGGTGGGTGCTGCATCACAGTCACTCCTCCCTCTTATGGGTTATACTGACCAGTAATCCCTCTAAACCAACTTTGCTTTTAAAGTTTCTCCTTCTCCTTTTCATCAGACCAGATTTTCCTATGCTGTGCTGCAGTCATCAGTTTCCCCCTCAGTGGTTTTTTCGCTTTGTTTTAGAGCAGTTTTGTCATGAGTATCTGGACAAGTCCTGTGCCTTAACTCTGCCACCACCTTGCCAGACTCTGCATGACTAAAATTGATCTCTGTGTGTAGATGATGCATATACTTAACCTGAGGCAGATTTGTCCCTCCCCAAAAGATAAGTAAAATTTATTTTTAAGCGATTCATTTAGCAGGGGATTATGCTAAGCAAAATATGTCAGAAGGGGAAACACAAATACTGGATGATTTCACTCACACATGGAATATAAAGAAACAAAGGAAATCAAACTCAAGAAATCTTATTGCAGAATTGAGGCTATCAGAATGAAAATGGGAGAGGGGTGGATGCAAAGGTGGCAGGGAAGCAACAGACTGTGGTGGGGGATTATGCGTGCATTGGTGGTAGGTATGGGATGATAACATACATTTGAAGAGGTGCGAACATATACCGCCTAAAACATATACAGTGTTGCAAACCAACATTACCACAATGAAAGTGTTTAATTAAAAAAAGTTCATGTAGCACTTTCATCAGACAATCTTGTGTTTGAGGGTAGGGGAGGTGGACAACAAACAAACAAAAACAGACTTCTATACTCTAAATAATGGACTCCAATTTCATTGTTGCCAAGGAGACTGACTGAAGCTTCTCTCTGTGCAAGTCATGCATTGGCTCATATTCATCACTATTGACAGCCTCATATGTGTCGCTGTCCAGCAAAAATCCTATCTGTTACTATTAATAAGCTACCCTTTGCCATATTGATTAGTTGCTTATCTGAGCTTTACAGACAACAACCTCCCTGCTTGTCTCAGAAGCTTCATATTAGTCAGAACGACACCTTCTAAGTCTTCGCTTTCATCTCCCTGATTTTAAGTATACACAGTTTTGACCTTAGGTATGTTCTTTGTACCCATCTTTTAGCACTCAAATCAAGACATTGTCCTGCACCTTGTCCCAGCACTACCTCTCAAACAACCAAACTTTGCTCCAGAGTACTGTCTAGAAGTTGGGTATCAATCTTCTACCTAAACTAAAAATCACAGAAATGTCCTGATTTAAAGTGAAATGTCTCTAAACAATATACACATAAGAAATCATATGAGAATATATTCAAATATCCTCTATTCTAAATGACTTAGCCCTATGATAAAAATTCATGTTAAAAATAACATTAGCTAAGTGGATCTTTATAAAACTGTTAATTCTGGCTTGGTATATGGGCATTACAGCACATGAATTACATATTAGGAGAGAAGGGGCGGAGGCTTGTTTTCAACTTAGTCATGAACTGTGCTCAAAGATTCATATTTTACTGAAACATCTTAAAGAACTGGTGGGTTGAAACAGCCAAGGGTTTAATTTCATTGGCATTTACACTTAGACTATTCTTTATCCAAAAGAATGAAACATGCCACCTCAATTTGAGACTGTTGTTTCAAATTAGAAGATGAAGGGAGTCATGGGCAGGTGTTTTATTCTTTAACCTAACCTCATAAGCTCACATCTGTGTTCCAGGGAAATTGGCTTCAAAAGAAAATAAAAGTAATTTCTACAATAATTGCCATGAGATAATGGAAGTATGGAGCAGCTTGGGACACATGTACCCAAACTTACCACGAAGGTGAAAGAAAGCATTTCTCTGCCCCTCAACACAGAACAGAATGCCTAACTGGAGATTTCTTAGCATTAACAGTAGCTTCAATGTTGCCACAGCAGAGCAGCTTCAGGTCAGTAGAACACAGACATAACTCAGTTTCAGTGATTATCTTCAAGACACCATCACAATATTAGCAGCCTTGAAGTTTCCTTGAAGGATAGTGCAACATTACTTTAACAAAATCTATTATTTTATAAATGAGTCGCAAAAACCAGAGGTAGGAAGGAAAAGAAAAAGTCTTATCCCAGAGATTCTAAAGTAATTGGGGAAACTTTGAAAGCAGCTGCAGGTCCAATACGAAATTCAGGGGGGAAATACAGAAAAAGGCTATTTGCTGTTTTGAAGGATTTTTTCTGCATGGAAACAATCTGAAAAACAAGAGATGAATTAAGAAGTATAATCCAGAAGAGCCTCAGCAAAGCAAGGGTAGATAAATTTTGGGACAGAATATAGTGCAAGTCATACCCGGCTTAGTCTGCTGTTCACCTCCTGGCAAACAGTAGCAGGGACAAAGTACAATCTTTATCACTGAAATGAAGTGAAATTGGTTATACACATAGCCCAGTACCTAGAATAAGAGAGGGAATGGTTAATATTGAATCATTCTAAATCCTACTCCTTTGTAATATCTTCCCCATATTATTTTCCCTGTCTATTCTCCATCATTTGCCTTTGTTTGCAAATATCAAGAATGTTAATAAACATTCTTGCTGTAAAACAGACATGCTATATACACATGAAACAGAGAAAACTTTTTTAAAAATATACCACCCATAAAATTAGAAGGAAAAAGTTCTCATAGCACTGTCAGCACAAGTTACTGTTTCTCATTTAGAATGCCATTACAGCTCCTTTGCTAGAATGTTGACTTCTAGAAGTATTCACTGTTAGTAGTTCATCATAAAATTCCAGAATCATATCATAAAGATTGCATTGAATATGAGGTAATCAGGTTATTTTCATTCTCTGCATATATTTTCTCAAAATAAGACATAATATTCTTAAGAAAATGATTTCTAAAATATGATCAAAGCAAAAATAACCTAATCCCTATGGAAAAACAAAGGGACTAGCAAGTACCTTTCCAATTTACATAAACAAAAACAAATAGGTTAATTTTGTTTATTTTTTAATGTTTCTCAGCTAGGATCTCACTTATACAAATGGATTTTATTAAAAACCTGTTTTAAAAGGATGTTTCCTAAAGACAAAAGAATCTTATGGTATAACTGGCATGAGTAAGTTATATGAAATTGAATTATGTTGCCTAGCATTCCTCTAATTATATTTTTTTCATGAGCATCCATTTGCAATAATAATATTAAATAATAATTAATACCTTCAGGACAAGGACCTGAACTTTATGCAAATATAGATTAGAGAAGTCCAAATTATTTTTTAATGAGCTATATGTATTATATCTCCCTATCTAGAGTTCATCTGGACCATGGCATTAAATAAGCTTAGAGTTAATTAAGCATATTATAACTATTCCTGCTTCTGCCTTTATTAGTATGAATCTGCCAGCTCAGAGGCACTCAGCAAACATGGAAATACTTTATCAACACCCCTCTCCAAAACACCTTGAAATATTTCAATCCTGCCTATACTCTTGGGATAATTCTACAAGCTCAAACCTATTGGACCTCTTTCTAAATCCATTACCTTTCTATTTATATAAATATGAATCGCAGAAACAGAGGATACATTTTTGTAGATATTGATTTATATTAATAAGAGCTATAGTCAAACAACTGCTCTTGATCACATGTACACACAAAAGTAGGATATCTCCTGCTGCAGAGATACTGGCTCAGGCATCTGCAGATTAAATGAACAGATTTGTTGCTGTATTTCAGTGTGCTAAATTGAATACAATTCACAATAGAAAATCTCAACATGCAAATGAAATCAGAAGAGCTTTTCTAATTTTCAAGAAGAGAATGAGAGAATCAATCTTTCAGTCATAAAAAAAAAATCTGCAGACCACTCATTAAGAGCTGATCACATTTTGGCACCAGCCAAACTAATTTAACTTATACCTACTCAGGCTGTCTTAGTTAGAAGGATTATGAACTAACCCTATTCAAACCTATCCCAAATTTGAAAGAAATATCACTTACAGGAGATAATCTCATGGGGTGGAATAAAACACCATGAACATCAAGAGAAAAACAACTAACATTCATTTTCTACTGGGAACTCAGCAGGGAAAGAATAAAAAAAAAAAAAAAAACCCAGAGTCAAGAGGTATTTGACATGGATCTGGTTCACAGTCTATCATATATCCTAAGGCCATATTTCCACAGCTCTGGCAAAATCCTTTATAGGAGAATGATTTGACATTTTAAGAGTTATCTTCCCAGTCTCTTCCACATAATTTTGTGACAAAATAACAAATTCAGGCCCCTGGAAAGAATATCAAGAAAGCAGTGGGTTTTGTATTCAGACAAACTAGACTTTCACTATAAGCTATTTAACTACAAACTATTCACTACATGAGTTACCTTGGAAAATCAGTTAACTTCTCTCAGTCTTACTTCTTTCTCTGGTTAAAAAAAGGAAAGAAAGAATACACTACTCAAGTAGAACTACTGAAGAAAAAGTACCCAGTAGATTTTTCTGGAAGATAATACACACTCAATTATTTATTGGTTCACTTATTTCACTGTGCTCAGACATGACTTCCACTCTTGGCTTTTCTATGCTATCAGCTGCTTCTCAAAAATTTGGAGTTCCTTCATATGATCTGGAGTTTAATTTATTTTCTATCTTACCCTAGGTTTTTACAAGTTTTGACTAATTACCCTATCATTTTAAAGTTCTCCAGATTTTGACTGCCTTCCACATATCCCTTAGATCTAGGGAGAAAAACACAGTTATCAATAGAATCAGCCAGCATGATCAGGATTTTGTATGAGGACTTGGAGCCTCTGTTAGGAACGGTAAAGAATTTTAAAGATAACTGGCCCCAAGTAAACATACTTTTGAGTCTCTGAATCACTGTCTCTCGAAATACTTTTTGCAGAATTCCTTGTGGCTATTAGGCTCCCACCTCTATTAAAAGAGGAGCTGTTTTCTAGAAACCACAAACTTAGAGAAAGAGCCCAAGAGAAAGGAATCAAGAAGTAGGTTGCTTAGACCTTCCCATTATTTTGGCCAAAGTAGTTCTCGTGAAACATATGAAGTGCAGCTTTGTTCTCCTGAGAGTTACACACATAAGCATTTCAAAACAGAATGAGTCATTATTGAGGGGGCGGAGCAACATGGCGGCAAGGAGACGCTGCGAGTAAGATCTCCCATTAAAAAAAGTGAATAGGGAGGAAAAGCGGCAGGTCCCAGTGAGAACTGGGACACGGAAGATAAACGGGTGACGCCAGCGAACTGCCCAAAGAAGAAACTGGCCATAAAAGAGGACTAGAAGGGAGGGAAGCGCAGAACCCTGCTCCCCTCCCCCGCCCACAGAGGCGGCACTCTCCGACCGGCAGAGAGGAGGAAACAACAAACCAAAACGGCCCACAAGAACAAACGACGCAGCAAGCGGGACTGTGAGTGGAAAGGAACTATTGCAGCCACCACACCCCGTGAACGGGAGCTGAGGCGAACCCTGCAGGATCCGCCGCGGCGGTGAGCGAACAGCTCCGGGCGCCATTAGAGAAGAACAAAGACCCCGGGAGACACGCACACAGCCCGGGCTGCCGGTAAGCCTGCGCGGGAAAGCGGCGCGCTCGGGGAGCTTGAAAAGCAAGTGCAGACCTGGATCGCGGCTGCCCAGGTCCCCGCGCCTGCAACCTAGGCTTGCGGGGAGACGACCTAGGCTTGCGGGGAGACGCACGGAGGTCCTCACTGAGGTGAAGGTCCCTCCCTGAGTGAGCAGGAACCAGGCGCCCAGGCACGGGAGCGGTGCAAAAGGCGCCATTCCCGTGCCACTGAACTGGGCTACAGCCCGCGTCCTGGAACTGAGGGCTTTGAACTGAGACCCGGGGCACGAAAATTCGGGGCGTGGTTTCTCCACGACGGTGGGGCACAAGGCAGACACAGCACCCCAAAGCTGTTGAGGTGTACCCTACCATTCCCGCTCTGTTCTCTGTCCCACGGGGTGGGGGGAGGCGAAAAACAGCCCCCCAAGGACAATAGGAGAGATCTCTGGCGCCACCTAGCGACCAGGAAAAAAAAAGTCACTAACACCCTATAAAACAGGACATTTCTTAAGACTGCTTGAAAAGGGCAGAAGGTTTCTGGAGGACCCAGTGGCCAGCCGGGAAGTTATTCCACGCCAGGCCCCTTCCGACCAGCAGTCTGAGCCCACAGAGGGAGCAGGCACCCACGTCTGGGGCAGACTGGGTGCGCAGAAGAGTGTGCCTGAAACCGGAGGCGCAGGGACTGCATCCCGCTTCGCCATTTGAGAACAGGGACATTTCTTCAGTAAAAACTGCCTAAAACCAGCAGAAAGCTCCCCCAGAAGACAGAGATGGCTCCTGGAAGAGCCAGAGGGGAGCGGAGAAGTTCACCCAAGATGTCAGTCAGTCCGAGCAACACAGTGTCCCAACGCATACGACAAATTAGAAAACAGACAGTAGGGAGTAGAAGAACCACACGCAACCTAAAAACTCCTCAGGAAAGAAGCACACCACAAAAAGAAAACCACTCCCCAGATTGCAACGACAGCAACTTGGAAGAACTTCTGAGCCTTCCAGAAAGAGAATTTAAAATTGCCATGATTAAAAAAGTGATAGATCAGAAGAAGGAAATTGAGTCCCTAAAGAGGGAAGTAAGAGAAATGCAGGAGATCAAAGAATTAATGGAGGAACTAAAGAACTCTGGGAAAAGCAATGAAAGCAGAATAGATGAAATGGAAGAACGAATAAGTAATCTTGAAGACACAGAAATAAAAAGAACCAAAACAGAAAAGGAAAGAGAAGTACGAAGGAAAAAGAATGAAGAAAGACTTCGGGAACTATCTGACTCCATGAGG